GGTTCATACCCCTTGGAACTGGAGCTACAGGTGTTTGTGAGCTGCCATCTGGGTGCTGGGAATTGAACCTATGTCAGCTGGAAGAGTAGGCCGTGCTCTTAACTGCTGAACCATTCTCTCCAGCCCTCATTTCTTTAGGTTGCTCATCAGTTCATGGGTTAGTTTCTCTTCTATATCCAAGGAGGGTTTCTGGGAACTGACCTCAACTCACATCTATCTTCTTTATATTAAAAGAGGAAACAAAATCTCTATCCTGGCTCCTAGAGGCCAATATAGGAAAGCCAGTCACCTCATGAAAGCACTTAGAATGATTCCAAGTCGAAGAACTGCTCCAGGAGGAAGTGGATACTGTCAGGATTAACTCAGTCTTTTGGGCTTACAGGTGGCTCAGGTACAGCTCTCTCCAGAACCTGAATAGTCAGTTTATGAAAACATAATATGCAACAACCAACAAACCTCAAGTTGTATTTCCAAAGCAGTAGTTTGAGAGCAGAGACCTTCCCACACTGCCCCCTAGTGGGACTTAGAAGCCACTCTTGGTAAGCATTTGCTATTGACTTAGCAGAACAGATTTTTTTTTTTTTGTTTTTTGTTTTTTTGTTTTTTTGTTTTCGTTTTTTCGAGACAGGGTTTCTCTGTGTAGCTGTTTTTTGTTTTGTTTTTTTGTTTTCGTTTTTTCGAGACAGGGTTTCTCTGTGTAGCTTTGGAGCCTATCCTGGCACTGGCTCTGGAGACCAGGCTGGCCTCAAACTCACAGAAATCTGCCTGCCTCTGCCTCCCGAGTGCTGGGATTAAAGGCGTTCGCCACCAACACCCGGAGAGATTAATTTCTTTTTGTACAGCCAGACTTCCAAGTTCTTGAGTTCCACGTTTGCAGCTTTAACAGAGTATTGGAAACATTGAAGAAAATGGTGAGTGTATTGAACATGTAAAAACATCTGTGTCCTTTTTTTTGACACGGAGTCTCACTTTATAGCCCAGAGTACCCTGAACTCAGGGCAATCCTCCTCCTAAATGCTGGAATTACAAGCATGAGCTACCATGCCTGAGACCACAGATTTTAAAACATATGTGAAATAGTTCAATTCATAATACTCATGGAAAAATACTGTATCTCTATATCTATTTATACAGATGTCATATAAATGTAAAAATCTGAGAGTGATCAATGCCCACCTTATGGGCAGCCTCATAGTACATAAATAGTCGTGATCCCTCCCCAACAACCATGTGCTTTATTGTGTGACTTTACTTTGTGTCCACACCTTTAAAAGGGTGAGGTTAGGGCTAGAGAGATGGTTCAGTGATTAAGGGTACTGGCTGCTCTTGCAGAGGACCTGAGTTCAGTTTCTGGCACCCACATTGCAGCTCACAATCATTTGTAACTCCAGTTCCAGGGTATCTAATACTATCTTCTGGCATCTGTGGGCACTGCATGCCTGTGGCACACATGCTCACATAAGCTCATACATAAAGGTTCAACTAAATAAATCTCACAGAATTAAAAGAGAAAGGTACATTATATGTGGTTCTATTTATATAAGCTAATGAAACTACAGTTGCCCCAAACAAGTCTATAGTTGCTTGAAGAAACGTGTAAATGTAGTGGTGGGAGACACAGAAGGAGATGTCAGGAGGGGTACAGAACACACTGGGGTGGCAGTTTGTTCACTATCTTGATTATGAGGGTGGTTTCATTATCCTACATATATGACAAAATGTATCATTTTACAGGCTTGGGGAAATGGATGTCAGTAAGGTGCCTGCCATACAAGCATGAGGATTTGAGTTTGGGTCCCCAGAACCCATATAAGCCAGGTACAGGGAGGATGGAGGAGAAAGGATGCAGGAGAGAGGAAGGGAGAGACAGGTGGAACCCTGAAGCTCACTGGCCAGCCAGTCTAATGAAACAGATGAGCGTTCAAGTTCAGTTAGAGACCCTGTTCAAATAATAAAGCTAGGAAAGATGGAGATAGACCAAGAAAAAAACACTTTTGGCCTCCACACAGACATGCAATGAGCAACCATGTCCACCCATGCACATGACACACTAGTACATATACCACATTCACACCACATCACACACACAAAACACTACACATAAAATGTACCAAATTAGGTGTGATATTTAAATTTTATGTACTAACAATTATATTAAACTTTATATTAGCCAGGCCTTGGTGGTGCATGCCTGGTCTACAAGAGCTAGTTCCAGGACAGCCTCCAAAGCCACAGAGAAACCCTGTCTCAAAAAAAACAAAAACCAAAACTTTATATTATATTAAAACTTTAAAAACAACCTTTAAAAAGAAGTGGAGTCTATTTTCCTTCCCCTTGTATCTGGGAAGGCCTTATGACTTTTCTTGGCCAATACTTTGCAACAGAAAGCATACATACCAATTCTGAACACAGGCCTCTAGAGGCTCTGCCTGAAAGACCCCCAGACCCCTAAGGGCCTCAGGATCCCGAGGAGCCCCCGAGACTCAGAAACCAGACCAAGAGCTGCAAAAGCAAGAGGGTTTATTGAACGAATGCGCATTCGGGTGTCAGCAATATCGGGAAAGCTGCACACTCCAGCAAGGGTTACAGGCTCCTTATATAGGAAAAACCCGCAGATCAGCACACAGGCAAGGGGCACAAAGTGATTGATTACAAAGTATGATCTCATGTTAGAGTGGTCACCCAAGTGTGACCTGCTTTTTTTACAAAGGAAAAACCATAAAACGTACCCTGGAAGGTCCTTGATTGTCTGTTGGCCAG